TTAAAGTTCTTTCTTAACACTATGGGCTATGGAGGAGAAATAACCTTTATCCTTGGGGAATTTTATGATCTTGTAAGGGAGACAAAAGAAATTTGTGTGAACCAACTAGAGAACAATATAAAGCCACATATGACAACCTTGGATTAACCTTATTCTTACGGAGCTCCCTTTAAAATATGACTCACCTGAAACTCAAGAAAACCAGACTCGGCAATAAATGTAAAACCCAAGTCCCTCGGTCACATTTGCACTGAAATGTAAAATAAAGGGTTAGACAGGTACAATTTCCTTTGTAGTGATAAGATCCTCTGATTCTATTATATAATCTCCAAAAGCAGGTCCAAGTTGAATACTTTTTTTCTCCTGAAACTAGATTCCTCTCTGTTTAGTAGAGTCCCCATTTCCAATTTAGGGCTTTGCCAACCCCGTATAACTTCTTTGCACAAAATTCCCCAAGATAAGGTCAAGGAGACGGCCTTACATTATGTCAGCCCCATTATCTGAGCTCGAGAGCCTCCCTTGGCTCCACCCTGTCTGGGCAATGCAGTGGGAGAGGGGACTGGACTGGGGGTGGCCAGGTGGCTGTCTGGCCAGCCTGGTCACAAAGACCCCAGTGAGTGTGAGATGAGCACATGACAGGGGCTCTGGGCAGGTCAGACTTGACGCCTAACTTGACCCCACTGACAGCCAGAGTTTGATAAAGACATGATTGAGTTGGAGATTTTTTTCTGACAGTTTAATGGATAGCTATAATTAGGGGCCCGCTCTGAGGGTGTGGAAACACATAGACCCCATTGTAGGGAGGCTAAATGCTACAAAGGTCAAGGCCAAAATATGGTATGAAAGAAACTCAACGTTTTCCAACATGCAGGAGAAGTGAGTCAGTAGTGAAATGCATTTAACGAGCATGATCAAGCATACCCAGTTCTTTTCGGCTCTTGAGCCTGATGGTTGTCATCAGTGGTGGCTCTCTGAAGCAGAGTTTCAGTCCTTGTGGCTCCAGAGACTAGCACTCTGGAGGTGGAGCTGACGGGATAAACTTCCCACCTGATCTCAGAAAGCAACTGACTTTCTTTTCTTCTGGAACCATCTCCCTGACTAAAAATAATAATGACAACCACAATAACTGAGACATACACATTGAATTTTAATGTTAAATTTAAACAGTATTTGTCAGTTTGTTTATACTTCTTTGTCAAAATAATGATTAATGAAAGTGGCTTTCAGCCCTAGATACTTTCTGGGACTTCTTAAAAGCCTTTTTCTTAGAATAAAGGAGTCATGATGTGCCAGCCATAATAAGATCCAACTAACAATGATCAAAAAAAAAAAAAAAAAATACAGTGAGTAATGGCAATAATGTTCTCATTAAAGGAAAACAGTTCACAACTTAGACAGAAACAGAGGGAATTAGTGAAACTCCATCCACCGAGGGCTCATAGGCTGCCCTTGGAAATACTCTTACCTGGTCACAGTACTTGTGAATTCATTTCCTGGTTGAGTTGGTAAGGTAGGCATCTTGAAAGACATTCATTAATCGAAGAATCAGATAATCCCAGGGCTGAAAAAGGATTTTGGAGGCCCTAGAGTGCCAAGAGGCTGACCCACCTCTGCCATATGAATTCTGATGAACAGAAGCTCTGACTTTTTACACTGCCTATCGCAATCTGGGTAGCTGTGAGTATTAACAAACTTGTCCTGATACAGTAGTCTCCCTTATCTGCAGTTTCACTTTCTACAGTTTTAGTTACCTGTGGTTAACCGCAGTCCAGAAATAGTAAATGGCAAATCTCAGAAATACACATAAGTTTTAAATTGCATGCCCTCCTGAATGGCATGATAAAAATCTCATGCAGTCCTACTCCATCTCACCCAGGACATGAATCATCCTGTTGTCTGGCGTATCCATGCTGTCTGTGCTACTCACCCATGAGTCACATAGGAGCCGTCTTGGTTATCAGATTGACTGTCATTTGTTTTGCAGTGCGTGTGTTCAAGTGACCCTTATTTTACTTAACAGTGGCTCCAAAGAACAAAAGTGGTGATGCTGGCCATTTGAACACGCCTAAAAGAAGCTGGGACGTGCTTCTGTTAAGTGAAAAGGTGAGAGCTCTTGACTTAATAAGGAAAGAATAAAAATTACAATATTAAAGTTGCTGAGATCTACAGTGAGAATGAATTTTTTACCGGTAAAATTGTGAAGAAAAAAAATTCATGTAGTTTTGCTGTTGCACCTCAAACTTTATTATAGGTATGTATGTATAGGAAAAAAACATAGTTGGGGTTGGTACTATCCTAGGTTTCAGGCATCCATTGGGTGTCTTGGAACATGTTCCCTGTGGATAAGTGGGGACTACTGTATTGAGCTAAAATCTGGTTTTTTTCCTACCTCGCACTGATTGGTTTCATTCTATCAATCGGGGTCATATAGAACAGGGCTAAGTCCCTGTTATATATGTAACTAGGACTGGTTATGTAATTTGCAGGGCCCAGTGCAAAATGAGAATGTGGGGCCCATGTTAAAAACTACTAAAAATTTCAAGACAGCAACAGAGCATTAAGCCAAGGGTGGAACCCCTCTAACTGCAGAGCTCTGTGTGGCTTTACAGGTAACCACACCCAGAAAGTTGGCTATATAGGGATCAGTGTTAATAGAAGGAAACTTTATTTTTCCTCCACTTTGTGTTATAACTTTTTTCAATTCCTTCTTCCTTCCTGCAGATCCCATGGAATATTCTGGTCTTTTGCAGATATTAAAAGCCCAGTTCAATATTTTATTAAACTCCAAGCTCTCAGTCACTACCTTTGCCCTGGCTGGGGCTGGGAAACTTGCAGAGACTTGCCTCTTCTCTTTGTCCTCCTGGCTGGTCTACTTCCCACTCTTCATGTTGCTGTTGGCTACTTCAGGGCTGGCCAGGGGTAGAAGGAGAAGGGCAGTGGATGGGAAAGGTCTTCCTTATTTGGCAGGCCCAGGTAGGATCTGGCGTAAGGGCTCTCTGAGTTGAGCAACCAAGTGCTCCTCCTTTCTTTCATGGGTATGTCTCTGGGTTCTTCTAAGCTCCTCCTTTGGAGACTTCCAACTGCAGTTTTCTGGTGCAGGGATGTCTCCTTTGGCTAGAAATTAATGACATTCTCCCAGCCCATGGCTGGTGGTTCACTGCAGTCTCCTTCTGCTGGGGTCGTCCACCCTGCAGTCCCTAATTCCTGTGGTCCTCTTGGATAGAGTTTTCAATCTGCCTCATGCTGGTTTCTTCCTCAGGTTCGCATGTGGACCTTAGGAAATGTGTTTTTGCCCTGCCATTCGCATAGCTCCCTTCAGTCTGCCAGCACAGCTTCTACTCCCTGCCCACAGCCAGAGACTCCCTCCTTCAGATTTTCTTCCAAGTAAGTGTGACTCAGATACCAGTTCCAGAATCTGCCCCAATTCCAAGGAATATATGGCAAGCCTGTTAGAGATTATTTGAAACTCATCTCAGTTGGCCTGAATAGTGGAGGATTAGGAGGGCATTTCAGCATACAACTTTCTTTTCTTTTCTTTTCTTTTTTTTTCAGGCAGAATTTTGCTCTGTTGCCCAGGCTGGAGTGCAATGGTGCAATCAAAGCTCAGTGCAGCTTCAATCTTCTAGACTCAAGCAGTCTTCCCATCTCAGATCCTGAGTAGCTAGGACCAAAGGCATGTACTACCACACCTGGCTGATTTTTTTTTTTTTTGGAGAAATGGGGTCTCACTTTGTTGCCCAGGCTACAACTTTCTTTCTGAAGAAAGCTTACCATTTGTTGCTCCTCCCTAATGGATATTTAGTCTTTTCTTATATCATCTGGAGATGAGTGATAGACCAGTGCAAGCGGAACAAATTATTGGTGTTGCCCCTTTCTCTAAATTTGAAGGTAGTTGGCACCTATTGTGCTTAGTGTTAGGGCTTTAGCAGACAGTGAGACAATAAAGAGAAGTCCCACTTGAACATCCTGTTACACAAGTAATGGACTAAGAAACATTTGAGGATAACTACAGCTATGGATTCAATGTTTGTGTCCCCCACAAATTCCTGTGTGGAATTCCTAACTTCCAATGTGGCTATGTTTGGAGATAGGGCCTTTATGCAGGTAATTAAGGTTAAATTAGGCCATAAGGGTAGGGACCTGATCTGGTAGAATTTGCACCCTTATTCTTAATTCCCGTTCTCTCTCATGTGCCCTTCTCTCTCCACCATGTGAGGACACAGTGAGAAGGAGGACATCTGCAAGCTAGGAAGAGGGCCCTCAACAGAACTAAACTGGCTGGCACCTGGATCTTGGACTTCCCAACCTTTAGAATTGTGAGAAAGTAAATGTGTGTTGTTAAAGCCAGTCTGTCTATGGCATTTTGTTAGTCAGCCCGGGTTGAGTAAGATGACTACTCTGCACTTTGGTGAGTGTTGCCTTTCTAAATGTGAGCACCTGCCATTCCTTTAATCTTCCCCAGCAGACCAAAATCTCTTTGCTCACCTCTCTGGACAGGCTCTCATTTGTTACATATTGGAGTCACATTTTTCAAAGGAATTGTTCTCTGTGGAGAACAATGAGCATAAGAGAAAATTGTGTTAAGTCACTTCACTCTTGAAAACCCATTTGGTTGTTCTTAAAATGTAAATATAAAATATGAGATTAGTAGGATAAAGAAGGGTTGGATGCACAAACATATAACGAGGATTACTCTCTTGTAAACACAATTTAGATGGTTGTCTTTCTCTTTTGCCGAGGTTGCATGGTAGCATTTGGGTAACATAAATGCACTTTTGATTCAATGTGACTGTATTTAACTTCAAGGATGGTGCCCGGATCTAAACATGCTATCCCAGGGTGGTCTCCTGAGCAAAAGGAAGAGGACTCTGAACCCCAGGACCCAGAAGCTATAGTTCTCTGAATGAGACTGAAAGTGCAGCGATGCTGGTGGCCTAAATCCATCCTGCTGTCTCATTTGGTATCTCATTTTCTCTATTTTATCCTTACTGTATGCTTTTAAAATGCAGGTACAGAACTCATACTTATATTTTTAATTGTCTTTCTTTCAGATTCTGCCCTTTGATGTATTAAAATATATTTATCAATTTTAAAGTATCTCCTCACATGATGCTTATTAATTGCAAAGGGAAAGACAGTTAACTTTACAGAGGGGAAACCTGACAGCCTTCCCCACAAGCAAATGACCAGCGTAAGACACAGGGGCATCATGTGCCTCTGGATACCATGCACTGAGAAGGACATAACACCACTGTGCGTATTGCTAAAAAGGCACAACCTCCATCGAACCTTGAGAAAACACCAGACACACACCCAGATGGTGGAACATTCTATAAAATAAAATTATATCAATGTCATTAAAGACAAGAAAGACTGAGGACCTAGCTCACAGATTGGAGGAGATTAAGAAGACATATTGATTAAATGCAATGTGGATAAGAAAAAGGCCACTGGTGGGAAAATTGGTGAAATTCAAATAAGGTTTGTAGTTTAGCTAAGAGTATTGTATAAATGATAATTCCCTGGTTTTAATAGTTTTACTAAGGTTTTATAAGATGTGAATGTAAGAGAAAGCTCGGAAAGGTTTTTGCAATTTTTCTTTGAGTCTATCGTCATTACTTTAAACTAGAAGTTTACAAATTGTATTTATTGGGTCTCTCCTCTATGCTATTCTCTGTGCTGGGAGGACAGCAGTAAACAAGACACAAGCTCTGCTCACAGAGGCTCACAGTAGAGTTTGCAGAAGCCCAAGCAGTCATGCACTACTTGTTATGGTGGGTGCATGCACACAGTGCCGCAAAGAGCAAACAGCTGAGTGTGAAAGAAAGTGTGCCACAAATCTGAATGAGAAATAGCCGTTGGCTGGAGAAAACTGGAAGTGACATGGAAACTGAATCCCAAAGATGGATTACAGCTATCCAAATAGACAAATGGCATGTGGAAGAGAGATAGGGGAAGCTGTTCAGGCACAGGGGCAAATTGTGCAAAGGGAGAGCCCGTTGCGGAACTGTAGGAATAGATGTGCGTGCCTCCTCAGTGTGCTGGAGGGCAGGAAGGGTGCGTTTGAAGTCTGTGAGCCTGAACGGGAGCAGGATGCAGGGGCCAGCCCAGGAAGGTCTCCCAAAGGCCTGCTGAAGGCCTACAAAAGAGCTGGGAACGTGAAGTCATTGAAGGATTCCAAACAGAGATTTGAAATGAGATTTATGATGTAGTGCATGCACTCTGGTCACTGAGTAGCTAATTGACGAGAGTTAGCAGTCAACGGCTCGTCTCTGATTCCAGTCACAGTCCGTGTGGCCAGACAAGGATATTGAGGTCATCCAGATGAGAGGACAGTGGCCTGAGTGGGTGTAGAAATCAGTAAATGCCTCAGTGTCTTTGTGAATCTCACCTCTCTCCTAAGGAGAAAGGAATCAATGTGAATACCTATCATGAGCTGAGTTCTACACTGGACATCTCACTCTCGCCATTCCTTGATGTGCCTATCCAAGCCTGATGTTAGAGTGATAGTCATCTTCATTTTAATTGTAGGTAATTGAGGCTCTATAAGGTTCAGTGGTTGAATCCACTCCCTGCATCACAGAGGGGTGAAGGACAGAGCTGAGATTCAAGTCCAGGTCTGCATGGCTCCAGAGCTCACCCTCTGTTTACTGTAAAATATCACATATAATCTAATATTATACCCGTCAGCCTCATGTCATTGGCCAGTTATCACGTGTAAGGTTTACAACTGAGAGAAAATAGTCTCCAGTGGCTCCTGTTTTAGGTCAGACAGACTGTAGGCACACACTGAGCAGGAATCTGCCCGCCTGATCCAGCCCTGGGCCTGCACAGTCCCCGTGGCGAGTTCTCACCACAGCAGGCAGAGTTCTGCCCCGTACCCTCCCCGACCCCTCTGTACCCCAGGCTGGCAGGTGAGTGGAGGTGTGAAAGTTTGCTCCGCGCCCTTCACATAGTGTTCCAGTTAGGGATTTATTGAATGATCTTAAGTTATTTCTCATTCAGATTTGTGGCACACTTACTTTCTTTCACACTCAGCTGTGTTTCATGTTCAACTTAGATCCAGGTTCAAACTATTTCACAAGATGGTTTTAGATTATAAACTAAAGAGGCTGAAAAGGCAGGAACATTCAAAACAAATTAGGCCTCAAATTATACAATTTCATAACTAAGTCTGCAAATGTAATCTTGTGTTGCCTCTCCTCTCTGCTCGGGGCCACCGTGATATCTTCCTGGTGTTTTCAAGTGAGGTTCTGGATATTTATTCTGAAGACCATTCGCTCCGACTTCTTATGTCTTACCTCCCTTTGCCCAGAAAGAAACCTCTTTCCCCCTGATCACATAATGTTCCCTCTCAGACTATATCACTTTCCACACCTTTCCATTGCCAACACTTCCAGAGGTCTGTCACATTCTTTCTTCACAGATGTGCCCAACATGGTTCCCACCCCTCCACCTTCCACCCACTTCTAGAAAGAAACACACCTCTCACAGAACACTTTAAGTCCAGGCTTAGGGAAGCCACTTAGCTCCCAGAACCCACGGTAGATACAGTTGCAGGTAATCTGGGTTCTAATGAGCACAGCACAAATTCTTACCAACTTAGTCTTCATGAGCAGATGGGACGCAGTCCTCCTCCTAGCCGAATTGTTAGCAAAAAAATAATAGCAAAGCCTTTGCTTGGGGTCTTTTGGGACCAAACCACTTAATAGAATATCCCAGAGAACATTTTAATCCTTATAATTGAGGTATGTATCATCTAGAAATATAGCCATTTCTATGTTGCCAGGTACCTTAGGCTATTTGAGCAAGACCTCAATGCTGGGGTGATTGCTATGAATGCTAAGCCAGTCACCTGGGTGAATAGCAAAATAAGATTTTAAACAATAGTCTGGGCAGGTTCTATGCAAGAGAGAAATTTGGCTTAACCCAAAAGAATAGATTTTTAATGGTGGAAACTATGGGTAGCATATTAGCAGCAGGTGAAAAATGTTGTGCGGGAGGCTTCTGCCTTCCAAGCATTCCTGTTTGTCTGCCTGTGATCCAGACCTTCAGAATTTGCTCTCATGTCCAGGTAGTTCGGTGCTGGTGGGAATATCTCAAGTAATGTTTAATATTTAGTAGTGAATAATTTACGCGTAGTTTTCTCAAACTTCCTTTGCTCCTTTGTTTATTCATTCATATAATCAGAAAATTATATGAACCAGAGATTCAAATATGAGATTATTACTTTTAAAGAGTTTACACTGTGTCAGAGAGAAAGACATTTTAGTGGGAAACAGCGTACGATTAGTAAGCGCTATTGTTGAGTTATGTAAAAGGCCCCGTGGAACACAGAGATAAGAACCAGTTCTGCTTGAGGATCGTGGAACGCTCTATGGAGGAGATTGTGTTTAAAGTCGCAGCTGTGGACACCTTCATTAAGAGGTGAGGTGAGAGGGGTGGCATGGGAGGAGGACATTTCAGGCAGGGGTGGGGTGACCTACCATCCTAGTTTGCTTGGGCCTGAGGGAATTCCTGGGGATCCAAGACTTTCACTGCTAAAACCAAAACAGTTCCCGAACAAACTCAGATGGTCAATCGCCTTAGAGAGGGGGAAATTTATGCTCAGCATGAGAATGGTTTGGCCCTTCCCATTTCTACAATAATGGTCTGTTCTATGTAGGTCAACGTCTCTTTTCTCTTTAGATACCTTTTTTCTTGCCTAGCAAAAGTTTTACTTATTATGGGTTATTTACAGTAAGAGCTTTAAGATCCACTTTCTATAACACGTCACACCTCATTTGCTCTCCTAAACCAATGCAATGCCTCAATGAGTCCTCAAGCAGAAATGAAGAACTGAGATCTGTTCTTACCTCTTGCTTTTAGCTCCCCTCCTCTCTTTCTTGTGCCTCTTTCTTCTTTCTGCCGACTTCCTTCTCCTTCCCAGTCTCTGTCTCCTTCTCTTTCTTCAGCACCAAGTACCTTCTCTGTTTCTGAGGAAGCAGCAGAGGAGCCTATGTGATCCAGAAAACTTGTTCTTGGGTTCTGGAAGCAGAGATGCAGGAATGGACCAATAAGGCACTAAACAAACCCATTTAGAATCTCAAGAAAGAAATATCTAACAGCATAATCATAACAACAACAATTTGATTTCTTCAGAAGCACTCCAATAGCTTCACTGGCATTAGCTAATCTTGTGCAGTGAGGAGGTGCAATTCCCTCTAGCCTGGCAGATTCTGTTTGGTTATAGTATTTATAGTGGCTCCTTTTCAGAATCTGATTCTCTGCCCCTTTCTCCTAATGAATCTCCATGTTGGTGGAAATACATTTATATCTTCCCTCCTTTAAAAACGGAATATGAGACTAGAGACAGATGGTATCCTACCCCCAATCCTCCAGGTTCACATATGTAACATATCTCTGTATTGTGTATTCAGAGACGCTTTCCCATCTCTATACCTAACAACCACATGAACAAGTAGAACTCTGGGTGCACAAGGAATAGAACCACACAGAAGTTTAAAAGCTTAAAGCAGAAGTGGGGGTCAACAGAAAAGGCTGCAGGTCCTTGAAAGTGGGGTTGTGAGTGCTGGGCCCATCAAGATGCCCTCAGCACACTGCGCACCCAAAGGAAGAGCTCACTCTATGTGTTGACTTCCTGATTGATGCATGTGCAGTGAGAAAGAATCAAACCAAAGACCAAGGAGTCTTTTATATATATACTTTAAAAAAAAATTATACTTTAAGTTCTAGGGTACATATGCACAATGTGCAGGTTTGTTACATATGTATACATGTGCCATATTGGTTTCCTGCACCCATTAACTCGTCATTTACATTAGGTATTTCTCCTAATGCTATCCCTCCTCCAGCTCCCCAGCCCCTGACAGGCCCTGGCGTGTGATGTTCCCCACCCTGTGTCCAGGTGTTCTCATTGTTCAATTCCCACCTATGAGTGAGAACATGCGGTGTTTGGTTTTCTGTCCTTGTGATAGTTTGTTCAGAATGACGGTTTCCAACTTCATTCGTGTCCCTACAAACGACATGAACTCATCCTTTTTTATGGCTGCATAGAATTCCATGGTGTATATGTGCCACATTTTCTTAATCCAGTCTATCATTGATGGACATTTGGGTTGGTTCCAAGTCTTTGCTATTGTGAATAGTGCCACAATAAACATACGTGTGCATGTGTCTTTATAGTAGCATGATTTATAATCCTTTGGGTATATACCCAGTAATGGGATTGCTGGGTCAAATGGTATTTCTAGTTCTAGATCCCTGAGGAATCACCACACTGTCTTCCACAATGGTTGAACCAGTTTACAGTCCCACCAACAGTGTAAAAGTGTTCTTATTTCTCCACCTGCTATCTCTCCAGCATCTGTTGTTTCCTGACTTTTTAATGATCGCCATTCTAACTGCTGTGAGATGGTATCTCATTATGGTTTTGATTTGCATTTCTCTGATGACCAGTTATGATGAGCATTTTTTCATGTGTCTGTTGGCTGCATAAATGTCTTCTCTTGAGAAGCGTCTGTTCATATCCTTTGCCCACTTTTTGATGGGGTTGTTTGATTTTTTTTTCTTGTAAATTTGTTTAAGTTCTTTGTAGATTCTGGATATTAGCTCTTTGTCAGATGGGTAGATTGCAAAAATTTTCTCCCATTCTGTAGGTTGCCTGTTCACTCTGATGGTAGTTTCTTTTGCTATGCAGAGGCTCTTTAGTTTAGTTAGATCCCATTTGTCAATTTTGGCTTTTGTTGCCATTGCTTTTGGTGTTTTTGTCATGAAATCCTTGTCCATGCCTATGTCCTGAATGGTATCGCCTAGGTTTTCTTCTAGGGTTTTTATGGTTTTAGGTCTAATATTTAAGTCTTTAGTCCATCTTGAATTAATTTTTGCATAAGGTGTAAGGAAGGGATCCAGTTTCAGCTTTCTACTTATGGTTAGCCAGTTTTCCCAGCACCATTTATTAAATACGGAATCCTTTCCCCATTTCTTGTTTTTGTCAGGTTTGTCAAAGATCAGACGGCTGTAGATGTGTGGAGTTATTTCTGAGGCCTCTGTTCTGTTCCATTGGTCTATATCTCTGTTTTGGTACCAGTACCATGCTATTTTGGTTATCGTAGCCTTGGAGTATAGTTTGAAGTCAGGTAGCGTGATGCCTCCAGCTTTATTCTTTTCGCTTAGGATTGTCTTGGCAATGCGGGCTCTTTTTTGGTTCCATATGAACTTTAAAGTAGTTTTTTCCAATTCTGTGAAGAAACTCATTGGTAGCTTGATGGGGTAGTCTATAAATCACCTTGGGCAGTATGGCTATTTTCATGATATTGACTCTTCCTATCCATGAGCATGGAATGTTCTTCCATTTGTTTGTGTCCTCTTTTATTTCGTTGAGCAGTGGTTTGTAGTTCTCCTTGAAGAGGTCCTTCACATCCCTTGTAAGTTGTATTCCTAGATATTTTATTCTCTTTGCAGCAATTGTGAATGGGAATTCATTCATGATTTGGCTTTCTGTCTGTTATTGGTGTATAAGAATGCTTGCGATTTTTGCACATTGATTTTGCATCCTGAGACTTTGCTGAAGTTGCTTATCAGCTTAAGGAGATTTTGGCCTGAGATGATGGGGTTTTCTAAATATACAATCGTGACATCTGCAAACAGAGGCAATTTGACTTCTTTTTTTCTTAATTGAATATCCTTTCTTTCTCTTGCCTGATCGCCCTGGCCAGAACTTCCAACACTATGTTGAACAGGAGTGGTGAGAGAGGGCATCCCTGTCTCATGCCAGTTTTCAAAGGGAATGCTTCCAGTTTTTGCCCATTCACTATGATATTGGCTGTGGGTCTGTCATAAATAGCTCTTATTTTGAGATACGTTCCATCAATACCTGGTTTATTGAGAGTTTTTAGCATGAAGGGCTGTTGAATTTTGTTGAAGGCCTTTTCTGCATCTATTGAGATAATCATGTAGTTTTTGTCTACCAAAGACCAAGGATTCTAATTCTCCAACAAACAAAAATACAAACTGGGAGAATGTTGTCAGTGGCACTTCCTGCCTTACACCACCAGTTTTTATAATTATCTCCCATGATCCCAGTGTCCTATTGACTCTTCTTAACCCCCAACAGCCCAAAGCTGTGGTGCCCAAACAAAGCTTCTGTTTTCCAGGAAACAGCTGATATTCCCATTGTCGTATTCCTTATTTTTATTCTGTAAGATTGGGAGAGAGAATACAAGTAGGTAAAAGTTACAGGTTCTAGCATCAGACCTGTCCTCCACTCCTGGCTGTTGCTTACTACCTGTGTGACTTGGGCAAATCACTTCTTATCTCGGAGCCCTTTCCTTTATCTGTAGAATGAAGATAGCACAGATTACCTCAAAAGATTGCTGTGCAGTTTAGCTGGAATAAGACTGGAGACATGGGGGTCTTCAGGGACTCAGGCTGACTGAGCAGCCCCGTAACCACTTTTTTGAAGGTTACTGGTTGACTAAGCCAAAAGGAAAAGAGAGCTCTGAAGGATGTCTCATTAGCACTTTAAAGTGAATAGCAGGTTTGCTCATGTCTGATTGGCTAGAACTGGTCACATGGTATCACTCAACCAGGAAGAGTTTGGGAAGTACAATTCTCACAGGTGCCAGGAAGGCACAAAGCTGGGAATATTTAGCAATTAGTACAGCATGCAAAGTACCTAGCACCATGACTGGCATGTTCTTTGTGCCACTCCATGCCAGCTGTATTTTAGTTCAGATCTGTTATCTATAAAATGTTGTACATGTATTGTTTAATATATTCAAAAGTGTTAATTGCTGGTAATTGATATATTACATCCTCCCTTTCAGAAGTTCCTACAGCTTAATAGAAAATTCCTGGAGTGACTCAGCTCTCAGTTAGTAACTCAGTGAGTGGAAATATTTGGAAGATTTCCTGAAGGAGGTAGAATTTGAACTGGATTTGGATGTTTGCATAGCATCTCAGTAACAAGCTATCAAGTAGGACTTCTGACCCATGGCACGGAGTGCCTGAGTTCTTTGCTTTGCACATGCAATTTATTTATTTATGATTTGCCCATTTCTTTATTCATTTAGTTATTCATTAAATGTTTACCAAACGTTTATATGTGCCAGGCACTGGAGATATTAGCATGGAAGAAGGCAAAGATGTTTCTCTTTGTGAAGCTTGCATTTTAGTAGAAGACACTAAACCAAAAAAAAAAAAAAAAAAAAGTAAACATAGTAATAGTATAGTAGGTGGTGATATGGTTATCAATGAATGAAGCAGAGTAGGGAGTAGACATGCCAGGGTTACAGAGAGTGGGAGGGTGTTGCTATTTTGTTGGGGGTGGTCAGAAAAGCAATTGAAGGGGCAGGCTCTTTGCAAATCTAAGAGGGGAGCATTCAGACAGAGGGACCAGCAAGGGCCACTGCTCTGAGGAGAGAGTCTCCTGGACCTATTTGGGGAAAGAGTGAAATGGTGGAAAGAACAGAAACTAGGAGCTGGGTCATTATCAGAGTTTTAATCTTGGCTCCATTGTTGATTTGCTGCTGTACTTGGAGCTGGCAATAAATAAATTGGTTGCGAGGATCCACTGGGAGCTAGGCTGCCTAGGTTTGAATCCCAGCTCTGCCCTTTACTAACTGGGTAAGTGGGGTGAGTTACTTCTCTCTCCAAGTTTCAACTCCTCCATCTGTACATGGGGTGGGGATCCTCACACTTCATGCAGTCTTCGGGAGAATTAAGTGAGTGAATCCACATAGAGCATTGAAACCAGGCCTTGACGTGCTGTGAGCCATCTCTGATGTTAGCTATTGCTATTAGAGCAAGTTATTTCCCCTCTTTGGGATTTAATATCATCGTCCAGCGATTGTGAGCTTTGGAGACATGGTCTCTTTAGCTTCTCTCAGGAAGTCTGAGGCTAATTTATATGTTATTCTGTGGACCATTTGCTTGTCATTTGCTCTCTCCTCAGGAACTGTGTTTTTTCACAGTCCTCATGCTGGATTTAGCTTCTTTCCAGTGAAGTCGAGCATGGGGTACTTCAT